TTTAACTCTTAGTCCAGGGTTTTCCTAGTATGACAGTCTGCCTATATATTATGGATCACTATTAGAAATTTTCAAATAGTAATATCAGTATTATTTTTTATCTCTACAGTGGAGCTAAATTAAAATCAGTTTCTTTAAAAAAAAAAATGTCCTTTTTTATTCCTATCGTGACATGCTCTAGTCTAGAGATATGAAGAGTTTGCAGGAATCCTTTTGTGAGAGAAACAGATCAGTGGAAGGCCTATTTTCCTTTTATCACAGCTACCAGCACTATAGCTGTGTAGGCAGCAAGGCAGCACCACCAGTCTTGGGGCCTGGCCTTCGCGTTCCAAACCCTACCCCACCACTGGAAGGAAGTCTGTGTCAGCCTGTACCCCATTGTAGTGCTAGAGAAGAGCGTGGAAGGTGTCTCCTGTCTCTCTCTGACTCACAGAACTCAATTTGTAACTCTTCGAGTTTGGCAAATGGACAAAGGAAGAAACAATTAACAGCCAAGTAAGGGAAATGTATCTTCAAACTGTTTCTTCCTGGGCTTCTTAGGCATTATATTATCTTTCATTTACATTGCCTATTTCTATCAAATTGGTGTTTCTTATATATATATATATACCAGTTTCCCTGGGTTCAGTGCCCTTTTTTTTCTTCTTTTTAAAAAGAACAACTTTCTTTGCACACTTTATAGAAGTTTTTCACCTTTTCCCATCATGGACGTCCATGGTCATTTAATGAATGTTTTGGACTGAAAGGTGAATTTCACATTCCTATCAGGGGATTTACAGTCCCCTAAAACCTCATCTGAATCCTCAGGATCAATGCTCAGACCTCGTTGAGAGAAGTCAGGTAAGGGGACTTGGAGCTTTTCATAGGAGACACATTATAAAACTGGAGAGTAAAGGCTCAAAGTAAGTGAACTCGCTGGGACAAGACGTTTGTGTTCTGGTTCCAGAAATCCTATTGTCTAGACATTCTGGGGAGTGGCAACTTTAAACCAGATGGAACACCTGAAATACTGATATATGCTAAGAAAAAAGGGCATCTTCCATGCCAGATGGTGACTTACTGGCCGAGGTGCTGGGCTGGCACCAGGGGGTTCACCTTCCTGCCGCCTGAGAGAGGCCAACTTTCTCTCCTCCTCTCCCAGCTTGTCTCCCTCAACCTCCCTGTCAGAGGAGGACAAAAAACAAAGGATCCAGAGCAGCCCTAGGTCCAGGTCTGGGGAGTTGGGTTCCAATCCTGACTCCATCATTCATCAGGTGACTGTGGGGCACTCTATCTCTCTCGACTTCTGTTTTCTTATTTTTGAAAAGAGATGGTTTGATATCCATTTCTCTGACAGTTCTGTGGTCTCTGTCAACTCTGTAATTCTATTACTTATTTTATGGACGCTGTGCTTAAATATTACTGGTTCAATAGCTTGGTTTGTAAGCTGTTTATAGATGTGTGAGGCCTGTTTCCTGTTAGATGTGAGATATATGTGAGATTAGCAATAAAGGAAGGCATGATAAACAATGCACTTAAAGCCAGTTAGCTTTGATCTATATTTGATGTTTACCCTTTTTGCATATATAACATGTAAAACACTTAAATCTCTGTCAGTGTTGCATTCTTTATCAAACAGATGTGATGCCATAAACAAAGAGGAATGGACTGATAATAAAATTAAGCTTTAAATCTTATGGGGCTGAGGTGGGAGGGGATGGATGGGGCAATGTCCTGGACGTTCAGACCATGAATCAACTGACATTCACATGTAATGGAAAATAGCACATTTCTAGCCTTTGTCCCATGACAGAATTCTTTTTAAAATTAGGTATTGATTACCAGTTGATAAATCTCTTTCTAACATGCACTTGAGTATATCTTAGGCTCTTATGCTGGGTTTGGGTAAAGGAAAGTATGAAAGCATAGTATTTGTTATGCAGGCACTGTTACTTGTGAGTGCTTGTCATTCGTGAGAGAAGGACGTAGCCAACGCTACTGTAAAGACTGACCTCAGGCCAGTTAGAACAGTGGTGAAAGGGAAGATTTGTCAGGGTCAAGCAGCCCTGTCCAGTGAAACTTTCTGATATGGCTGATGGAAATCTTCCATGTCTGTGCTAAATGGTAGCCAAGCGTATACGACTCCTGAGCACTTGAAATATGGCTGGTGCCCCTGAGGATCTTACTGTACTAGACAGCACTGGTCTAGATGGTCACCACAGCTGCTGGCACAACTGTCACAGGTCAGGCTGTTGCTCTGAATACAGCCATTCTACAAGGTATTTTACTCTGATCAAAAGATAGACATGCCTCATACATTTTGTTTATCTACCTTTGTGCCTCGCAGGGGGCTGGGCTCACAATTGATTACCTGATCAACCACAGATCTAGTTTGAGATTTGTTTTCTTATTTAAAAACTATAAACATATCCATGGGTCCCTAAGAGAGCATCATCAGCACTTGGCTTATGGGGACAGGCTTTTTTTAGGTTTTCCTGGTGCTTTTGAGCCCTATTCGGTTAATAACCAACATGTTTTCTTTCTTTTCTTTTTTTTTTTTTGGAAAAGGATAAGATGTCATTCCCATTTTCAAGACAGAGAAATTAAGATCAGCAGAGCTATGACAACTATGGAAATATAAATGACAGCCAATTAACAAATCAGGGCTAATTCACATATTCTCACATTCATGCCCGGTGCACAAGCTATCACCCTCCATGAAAGGGTTGAAAAGGGAGTGTCAGTGTTCAATCAGAAAGGATGGCCTCTCTCCAGCACTTC